TCTTTCTCTGATCTTAGAGTTAGTTCTCAACCTGGCTGCCATTCAGAATCACCCACGTAATTATCTACATCCTGCCACCGCCTCGGAAACCCAAGGAGGTCGCTATGAGTCGAGTCCATCTCGAAAGTACATAACAAGAACAACAGCAACCATTTTATTTTAGAATAAAAATATTATAGTTTTCAATTTAGAATAAAAATATTTGACAGAACAAATGAGTAAACAAGTAGATTATTGACGAGATAAAGTATATCATCTTTGAACTGTTTTATGTGCCAGGGTAGGAGTAGCTGATAGCATAGTGCGTGAGACTTTGGAGTTGGGCTACTTGGGCTCTAACCTTACCTTAACCACCATTTGTGCCATCTAGTGACTTTATGCTAAAGATATGTTACCTATTGTTTGGCTTTTTAAAGCCTTACTGCCACTGTCATGCAGGAGCTCTGGCAGCGTAGTGCCTAAGGCACTTGACTGCTAACCAGAAGGCTGGCTGTTGAAACCCACCAGCTACTCCTCGGAAGGAAAGTTGGGCAACCTACTTCCATAGTGATAATGCTTTGGAAACCCAGGGAGGGGTCGCTATGAGTCGGGGTCTGACTCAGCGGCACATTACAACAACAACCACTGTCATGCAACTAGCCTTGTCAAGGAAAGGAGCTATGTTCCTGACCAAGTCTCTGATATAAAATTCATACCAGCAGTAGTCACAAGACTTCAGACTCTTTGGGAAATCTAATTAAGTTTCCTTGAGCAATTTCAATTCTTTATATAGTAAGAAGTTTTTGTGTTTTATTCCAAACTTAATTTAGATTACTTTGTTGTACTCTGATATGTTTATAGTCTAACTTAAGTGGAAAGTAATAAAATCTATCTTCAAATAGGGGAGCTCTAGTGGGGTTGTGCCTAAGGCATTTGACTGGTAACCAGAAGGCTGGTGGTTCAAACCCACCAGTTACACCTCGGAAGGAAGGTTGGGCAGTCTACTTCTGTAGAAATACTGCTTCAGAAACCCAAGAAGGTAGTTCACTGTGAGTCAAAATCAACTTGATGGCAGTGAGTGAGAATCTTCAGATAGAGATCATTTGTTAAATAGCATTTTGGAAAAGTTCCCTAAAATGGTAACTTAAGTTCATCATTCTGCAATGTAGAGTGTTTTCACATATTTCATTTTCTCCTCATAACTATTATGTGTGGTAGAACAGCTATTGTTTTCTATACTTCACTGTAACTGAACAGGCAAGTAAGTCACTTAAACTTCCTGAGTCTTAGTTTCCTCCTTTGCTCGGTCACATTGGTGTAGTTGGTAGAAACAGAACTCTGGCCCCTGTTGCCTTTCTAGTTTTTCCTGGTATTGCTCTTCAGCATATTTAGATTATCGTGTTTTGTTGTAGGTGTCACCCCTTCAACTTCCTTGTCCTCAGTGCTTCTGTTGATGCAGTCTAATATGGCATTAACTTTTTTGGTAGTTGTGTTACATTTTAAAATCCTCTTCTACCTACTGTTTCTGTAAGCACCTAAATCATTTTTTCTATATGTAGTCATGTTTTCCCGTCCTTGTTTGTCCAGTTCATTCTTCAGACTCAACTGTATAGTCTTCATTTAATTACCATTCACCTTCTTTTAAGTGCCTGATGCTACACTATCACAAGGATGTCTTTTGCATGGATGTTAACGTAACTAAGATGAGCCTATTTGTGAGTGTGTGTTGGGGGGGCAGGGATGAATTGGCACAGATTATTTGTCTGTGATAGTAATAGTTTTCATTAGTTATAAACCAACCAGTCTCCTAAGCTATTTAGGTTATCATTTTTTTCTAACTGGATTATTTGTTTTTGAATAATTTAGGAATTTTTTTCAAAGTAGCATTCTGTGAAATTGTTGTGACCCCAAAAGCAGTACTAACATTTCTTCACATTATATCCACAGCAACAAACGTTAAGACCTATAACTTCAAGTTGGAAATGTGAAATATGATATATGAACTGAAGGGCAAAATTCTTTTTTTTTTTTTAAAATTGTGATTTGGGTGAAAGTTTACAGAGCAAATTCACATTCCATATAGCAGCTCACATACACTTTGTCTCATGACATTGACTACAATTTCCCACAATGCAACAGCTCCTCTCCCACTACCTCCTCATAGTTTCCTCTTCCCTGTGTCCTTCCTTGCATGCACTCCTGCCCTGTGAGCTGTCTTCTGTGCATACACAGCCCTTCTGTTCTCCCATGATTGTTCTTTCCAAGGAGTGTATCTACCTAATGTAAATGTTCAGGTCATATGCCTCTCTTTTGTTTGGCTGGAAGCCACAGGAGTGGGTTTAATTCCAGACCTGAAAGGTAGCTAGGGGCCATAGTCTCAGTGGTTCCATCAGGCTCTATCAGACCAGCAAACCTGGTCCCTTTTTTTTTTTTTTTTTAAATGATTTTGAGTTTTGTTCCACATTATTCTCCCACTCTGTTGAGGATCTCCTATACAGATCCCTTTCCGAGTGGTTGACAGTGGTAACCGGGCACCATTTAGTTCTTCTGGTCTCATAGTCATATAGACTGAGGTGTAAGAGTCTCTTGAAGGGCAAAATTCTTATAAGAGAGATTAAAATGGAAAGTAATGTTGAATGGAATAAAATATTTAACTTTCAGATGGGATGGTGATTTATAATAGATACGATTAGCTATTAAGAAAATTAAAGATAAACTGAAAAGTTATTATAACTATTATTAGAAAAAGTTATTAGAATTACTAATAATCCAGTAAGATGGTTAGAAACAAACAAAATATAAAGGAGAATGAAAGCTTTCCTGCATGCTTGAAATAGCAGTATAAAACTAAAAAAACCCACCAAACTCACTGCCATTGAGTCATTTCCAACTCATACTAACCCCCACTAGGTTTCCGAGGCTGTAAATCTTTACAAAAGTAGGTTGCCCAGTCTTCCTTCCATGAAGCAGCTGATGAGTTTGAACCACTGATCTTCCAGTTAACAGTCTTTTCCACTACACCACCACAAATAACAGTCTGTCACCTACAAATTATAAAATATAAAGTATGAAAAAAGAAATTACATTTATTATGGTAAGATAAGACCTACCAGATAACAACATACATTTGTGTCAGACTAATGATTGTCCAGAAATACTTGTTTTTCACTTCTTTCTTAGGAGTAGAACTTAAATTTTTAGCTGAATATGTTGTCATCCTGCTAACCATGATTTTGCTTAGCCTCTCATAATGCTAAAAGTGACCATTAATACAAAATTCTGGCCAATGACTTATACGTCTACATTTATAGGCTTCAGGAAAAGTCTCCTTAAAAGGAATAGAAACATTCTTTTTCTCTCCATATCTTCCTTCTTGGAATGTGGGCATGATAGCTATACTAGCCATCTTAAACTGAAAAGTAGTCTTGAGGACAGAAGCCATTGTGCTAGGATGTTGTTGTTAGCTGCTGTAGAGTTGACTCTAGCTCATGAGACCTTGTGTACAACAGAACAAAACCTTTCCTTGTCCTGTGTCACCCTCACAATCTCCAGGATGTTTGAGTCCATCATTGAGCTGTTGTGCCAAGCCGTCTCACCAAGGGTGTCCTATGCCCTCATCGGTCCTCTACTTAACCAAACATGATGTCTTCTTCTAGTGATTGAATCCCTCCTGGTGGTGTATCCAAAAGCAAGCTAGTAGGAGGACAGTGTACTGTTGTGATCCATAGGTTTTCAATGGCTAATTTTTAGAAGTAGATAGATCTTTCATCTTAGTCTAGAAACTATACTAACAAGCTAACACTTGTAATTATTTCTCTAGAAAATGTGGTGTGCTACCTTGATTCATCGTTCCCCTCATTTATCACCTCCTTCCTTTGTCATCTAGATTACAGATTCCGTAAGGATGCAGAACACATTTTACTGTTCTTTAGGTAATAGTGCACAGTAGTAGAAATACTTGCATTATTTTCAGTAGACACTCAAGTGCTTATAGAATTATTGAAGTTGCAATTTGCGTATATAGTAATATCGACTATTTTTGCATATATAAAAATATTGGTCACCCATTCTGTGTTTGCTTTTACCTGGTCCTGTTCTCTTTGCTTCTATTCTGATACTGCCCTGGCCTACAGTCTGGATATATTGTATGAGTTGGACAGGTGATGAATAATAAATTTGTCAACTTGAGGTCCTGGTTTAGTGAATATTTAAAAAGCATTTGTAATCAGTATGCTACTTACCATACAATTGTTTAATAATTACGTGAATGAAAGCTACTAAGGTAATTTTCATAGTTTGAAAGTTCTTACCCTGACCTCTTAAATTCTGTCAACATAAGCTTTACAGTTTGTGTCTGAGTTATCAGAGCTAATGGTCTTTGTTTTCCTGAGTTAATACTTGGTGGTGCAGAAATGAAGCATGTGGCTGTTAACCAAAAGGTTGGTGGTTTGAACCCACCCAGTGGCTATGCTGGGGAAAGATCTGGTGATCTATTTCCATAAAGATAACAGCCTAGAAAATCCTATGAGGCAGTTGTAGTCTTTCACATGGGATTACTGTGAGTCAAAAATCAACTTGATGGCACTGAAACAACATAATTTTGTAAAAGATAGGAACAAACTATTTTGGAAAATCTTACTTCAGCCAATAATTACTCTTGTAGATTTATGCCTAATATTAATTTAACAATCGTTCAGTTTATGATACTTTTATTTCTAGTGAAATGCTTAATTTATATTGGTGGACTCTTCAGAATTTTTTAAAATTCTAGTAAGAAATTTTCTAAGCCAAGGTTATCCATATCAATCTTTAAACAATTAACCAGATGATGTTGTGGTTCATAGATGCAGTGCTCAGTGCATCACTAGGGTTGGTGTCACCCAGTGCAGGAACTCATAGTGTCAGCCTCTCTGATGGGCAGGATAGTGGTGAACCTGGCCCCCCCAAGTAGCTCCCAGCAGTTCCTCTTCTCTCCTGTTGGCTGAGGTGGAAACCCTGCTCTTCACCAAATGGCTGCAACTATGGCCTACCTCCCTCATCCTAACTGGTGAGTGAAAGGTGGGGCATAGTGACGAGTTACCACATAGGGTGAGGAGTGACACCAACCAAGTGATGCCACTGAAAGTTTGACATTACCAATCTGTATACTTCATCAGTATGGACCCCAAGATATAGTAGAGAGGAGAAACATAGGCAAAGTCATGGAGGTGGGAATGGCATGGTCTACATTGGAAGATATTGTTGTTGCTGTCTTGTCACTTCCTACTCATAGTGATCCTAGACCTTGTGTACAACAAAATAAAACACTGCCCAGTCCTGCACCATCCTCATAATCTTTTCTATGCTTAAGTCCATTGTTGCAGCCACTGTATCAGTCCATCTTGTTGAGGGTCTTCCCCTTTTTTGCTGTCCTTCTACTTTACCCGGGAGCTCTGGTAGTGTAGTGCCTAAGGCACTTGACTGCTAACCAGAAGGCTGGCGGTTCAAACCCACCAGCCACTCCTCGGAAGGAAGGTTGGGCAATCTACTTCTGTAGTGATACTGCCTCGTCAACCCAAGGAGGGGTGGCTATGAGTCGGGGCTGACTCGATGGCACATAACAACAACAACAACTTTATCAAGCATGATATCCTCCTCCAATGACAGGTCCCTTCTGACAGCATGACCAAGGTACATGAGACATAGTCTTGCCATTCTTGCTTCTAAGGAACATTCCATCTGTACTACTTCCAAGACACATTTGTTTGTTCTTCTGGCAGTTCATGGCATTTTCAATATTCTTCGCCAACACCACAATTCAAATGCATCAATTCTTTTTCAGTAGAATAATGATACGTAAAATTTGAGCAGGTAAATTGTGGCCATGCCATAGAGGGAGTTTAGATCTGAAAGTGTTATGGGTGTATTAAGGAGAAAAGTGCTATTTCAGGAAGATTACTTTGGAAATATATGCAGGTTATATTGGAGAAGGGAAGAAACCAGAACAGGAATGCTGTGTGATATGCAGAGGCAACAAAGGCCCAGGCTAAGGTTGTTACTGGGAGCTCTGGTAGCATAGTGCCTAAGGCACTTGACTGCCCACCAGAAGGCTGGCCGTTCAAACTCACCAGCCACTCCTCGGAAGGAAGGTGGGGCAATCTACTTCCGTAGTGATACTGCCTTGGAAACCCAAGGAGGGGTCGCTATGAGTCAGATCCAACTCTATGGCAGTGGGTTTTTGGTTTTTGGTATGAAAGATGAGATTTATTCCCTTGTTCAACAAGTATTTACTAAATACTGTATGTATTTATGCTTATAATACAGGTATCCCTCTCTTTTCAAAAGTTCATTTTACGTCACTTTGCTTTTATAAATGGCCTGCATTACTACCTGTTTTCAATAACCAAAAGAAATCCAAAGAGGATTTTCGCTTTTACGAAAGATGGTGAAAAGCAAAACTAGCATTTGGCATTTGTTTTGCAGTGAGCCATTAAAGAGGCAGTGTGCACTCTGAGCAGTGAGAGTGGTGTCACCAAACTCATTCTCTGGAAACCATGCTGTAAATATATTATTTCTACTTTATATTGCCTATGTATTTATCATATCATTCCTGCTTTTAAGGTGTGTTAGTGTTATTTTAGGTTTGAGGTGTTATTTGATGTGCTTTGGTAGGTTATTTTTCGGATCTAGGAATGCTCAAAATTGTTTCCCAAATAAATTAATGGTAATTACTTCTTTGATAATTTATGCTATTTTAGCTTATGAAAGATTTCATAGGAACTCTCTAATTTTGGATAGTGGAGGAAGCCTCTATCTGGACAGAACTTTGCCTGTAATTACTGACACAATTTTAAAACTTTAAAATTATGTACACTGGTGGTAAGGTTCTTTATATCAATCTATCTATCTATAGATAGATATATGTATGTATATCTATATATATTTGGTTATTTGAAAATTTTAAGATAGTATTAAAGCCCTTTCTAAAATGAAGAGCAAACATTTTTTCTTTTAATCTTCCAAAGTATTTTTACTTTTTGATTAACAAATTGAATGTCAGTAACTTAATTATATACATGAGAAATCCTTTGGCAGGCAAATGGAAATTTCTTGACCAGGGAGCTTTATTTCCTTCAGTGATTAAGAATGTTCTACTGCATAAAAGAGTCATTTCCTCACAGTCTTGTAATGCCAGCTGTCATTTGGTGCCATACTTTTAGCATCTTGCAACTATGATTTCTGTGTCAAGCAAATGCTTAAACTAGGTTGTCAGACCATTTAAAAGAAACTAAAAAGCACTTTAAGTTCCAGAACATTTGCTCTGGTTAAAGCCAGTGACATAAAGTATGTATGAAGCTACTCAAAGAGCCACATTAATAAGTTCTTACAGGATAAAAAAGAACAGTTTCCTTAAGCAGTGTTGATAATAATACATTATGACTTACATTTTCAAACATAAGTGTAAGGACAGAGTGAGACAACGGAGGTACAAATAATCATCTTTTATTTAATTATTTTTAATTTTTATTTTAAGGGTTTGTTTTACATTCAACATTATGTGTACATTTACTTTCACTCCCCATTTACATCCCCAACCCTAACCCAGCCTCCTCCTTCCCTGCCCAGTAACCCCCACCACATGCTCCTCATAGTTATGCACTCCTGTGTGTCCTGCATTTCCTCTGTGGGAATGTTGCCCCTCTGGGGTCCCATGGTCTATTGCTCTAAGGGATGTATTACCATAGAGTATGTGGGTGCATCATCCTAGGTTGAGTGGTCTGCATGTACATCTTGTTAACTATTGGGCTGAGAGCCAGCCCCTGGGAGTGAACTTTATTCCAGGCACAGAATATATCCCAGGACCATAGTATGGGGGTCTCACCAGACTCCATCCAACCAGTAATTCTGGTCATTATTGAGTTTTTGGATTTTGTTCCACATTTTTCCTCCCACTTTGTCCATGATCTCCAGATTTGATCTTTTTTTGAGTGGTTGGCATTGGTAGCTAGGCACCATCTAGTTCTGATCTCGAGGGCCATCGTGTCCTAGGGCTGAGTGCTTCCAAATGCCCTTGTTTTTTTGCACTCTTCTTTGCTTCCAACGATAGGAGACTGTTAGCTGCATCTTAGATGGCCACTTGAAAGCTTTTAAGACCCCAGTCACTACTCACCAATGTAGAATGAGGAATAAGATTTTTATGTATTTTGTTGTGCCAATTGAGTCTGGTGTCCCCCAGTACTATGGTCCTGAGTTGGTAGATCCATTGGATCTCTCTCCCACAGTGTCTGGCTGTCTGTGAGGGATTATTCTATGTCTGTCTTCTGTTGTCTCTGTAAGGATTGTGGTTAGTTTATATCACTGGTATCTGTGCAGGATTAGCCTCTGCTGAATGTATCCTTGTTCTAGAGTATACTCCTGTTCACTGACCCCCATCTGATCGTCTCAGATGTTTATGTATTTATCTGTAGCTTGCTATTTGGTGTTAATGGTAATGCAGTATTGTGGATATACTGGTTGGTATTAGCATCTGTCATCTATATATTATGTGTACAATTAGTTGTCCTCCCTTTTCCTAATGCTATCATGGTGGTCCTGGACTCTTTCTATACCATCTCTCCCCTTACCAACCCCAGCATGTGGCCTCCAACTAGTCTGAAGTTAATCCCTCCCCTTCCCTTCCCACCCCAGTAATCTACAAAGTGAGTTCCCTTTGTCAAGGAAGCCCTTCTTTGTCTTTTTACAGTAATGGGCTCATACAGTATTTGTCCTTCTGCGATTGGCTTATTTCACTCAGCATGATGTCCTCCAGGCTCATCCAGGTTGTGAGATGATATGCGTATCCCTCATTGTTCTTTAATGTGGCATAGTATTCCATTGTGTGGATATACCATGATTTGTTTATCCATTCATCCATTGATGGGCATTTAGGTTGTTTCCATCTCTTTGCTAAAGAGAATTGTGCTGCAGTGAACATTGGTGTGCATATATCTGTTTATGCACTGCCTCTCACCTCTTTAAGATATATTCTTAGTAATGGAATTGCTGGGTCAAATAGCATTTCTATTTTCAGTTTTTTAAGGAAACATCATACCGTATGCCACAATGGTTGTACCATTTTACAATCCCACCAGCAGTGCACAAGAGTTCCAATCTCTCTACAACCTTGCCAGCATTTGTTATTTTCTGTCCTGTTGAACTTGGCTATTATTGTTGGGGTGAGATGATATCCTATCGTTGTTTTGATTTGCATCTCTCTAATGACTAAAGATTGCAAGCATTTTCCTCATGTGTTTGTTAGCCAGCAGCATATTGTCTTTAGTGAAGTGTCTGTTCAAGTCTTTTCCCCATTTTTGAATTGGGTTGTTTATCTTTTTGGTGTTGAGATGTTGAAGTTTTCTAGAGATTTTGGAGATACATCCTTTGTCAGATATGTCATAGGCAAATATTTTCTCCCAGTCTGTAGGTTCTTGTCTTACCCTTTTGATGAAATCTTTTGATGTGCATAAGAATTTAATTTTTAAAAGATCCCAGTCAATTAGCTTCTCTTCTACTTCCTGTGAATTATGGGTTATGCTTGATAATCTATTTATGCCATAAATCCGGGCTCCTAAATTTGGCCCCATTTTATCTTTGATGAATTTTATAGTTTTGGGTTTACATTTAGGCCTTTGATCCAGCTTGAGTTTGTTTTTGTGTGTGGAGTGAGGTATGGGTCTTGTTTCATTTTTCTGCAAGTGGATATCCAGTGTTGCCAGCACCATTTGTTAAAGAGGCTGTTTCTTCCCCATTTAATGGGTATTGGACCTTTGTCAAAGATCAGCTGTCGATAGATGGATGGGTCTATTTCTGGACTTTTGATTCTGTTCCATTGGTCTGTCATTGTACCAATACCATGCTGTTTTGACTACTGTGACTGTGTAGTAGGTTTTAAGATCTGGGAGTGTGAGACCTCCCACTCTGTTCTTCTTCTTCAGTAGTGCTCTACTTATCCAAGGTCTCTTTCCTTTCCATATGAAGTTAGTAATTGGTTTTTCCGTGTCCTTAAAACATTTTGTTGGTATTTGGATC